TCTTGCTGGAACCGATGCTTGATGGGGATAAAATGGAGCACCTGAAACAATATCTCCAATTTGGTTGTGGTTATTTTTCCTCTAGTGGAAAATATGGGTTTTGAGGACAACAGACTCTTCTGTCAAGTGCTGCATCTGGAAATTATTAGTCAACGATTTCAAAAAACTTTTTTGATTTCCGCCATTTATGTGAAGTCTACAAGAAGGGATCATCAGTTACTGTGGGACGAATTGGAAGGTTTCTATGCTCAGCACATGGGAGAAACTTGGATAGTGGGTGGGGATTTTAACGCTATTCGAAGCCTAGAGGAGTATTCGGGAAATGGACATCCGGACCAAGCTACAATAGAAGATTCAATGAATGCATCAATAAGTGTAATCTGGCTGAAACACAGACAATAGGCAACGCATTCACTTGGGTTGGTAATCAACAGAACGGTAAAGTTTTCAAGCGACTAGACAGAGTTTTGTTTTCGACGGAATTGCTTTCTTCTTTTGCAGGTTCTACGATACAACATCTTAGTAGGGCTTCCTCTGATCATAGCCCCTTACTTCACCAATTTGAGATTGAACTTGAGACAAGACCGAGGCTTTTCAGGTTTCAAAAGATGTGGTTAAGGAGGCATGACTTCATTGATGTGGTTCGAGAGAATTGGGAACAATCATTTCAGAGATATGGTATGCTTGGCTTTTCTTTGAAACTCAGGCGCTTAAAACTCAGGTTGAAAGATTGGAACCGAACAACTTTTGGAGGTGTATTTCAGAATCTTAGGGTGGCAGAAGAAGATGTTCAGTTAAAGGAGCTGCAATACGACTCTACAAGTACTATAAATGATCGAATGGAGCTACATCGAGCCTAGGCTAATTTGTTTCAACGAGTACGAGAACATGAAGATTTTATTCGGCAAAAAAGCAAGATCAAATGGTTGAGTGAAGGTGACCGGAATTCAAGTTTTTTCATGCTTCTATGGTGGAGAGAAAGACAAGGCAGGGTATTTATAAAATTAATGCTCGGCGTGGCAGTTGGATAACTAACCGAGTTGAAATTGAAAAAGAAGCTGTCCTTTTTTACCAAGAGCTTCTTTCGTGTGAAGATTCTTTTGAACAAGAAGAGGCAGTCAAAAGGTTGCTGCGGAGTGTTCCGACGAGCTTGACAGCTGTGGAAATGATAAACTCCTTCAGCCTATTACATTGGAAGTTTATAGTCTTGACCCGGATAGTGCTTCTGGTATAGACGGCTTTGGAGGATCCTTCTACCAAAGTTGTTGGGAGATAGTTAGCAATGATTTGCTAGCTGCATGTATGGATTTCATGGCTGGAGTTTCTCTTCCTAGGCCAATTGGGAGTACGGTTATCAGCTTGATTCCGAAGAAGGATTCTGTCATCTCCTTTGCAGATTATCGTCCAATCAGCCTTTGTAATTTTATCAATAAAATTTTTACAAAGGTATTAATGAAGAGATTGAAAGTAGTGTTGCCCAGCTTGATATCTATGGAACAGTCAGCTTTTTTATCTGGAAGAGACATTACGGACAACGTTCTAATGACTCAGGACTTAAGCCAATTTTTGGAACATAAAGTGAGAGGGGAGAATTTAATTTTGAAGTTGGATATGATGAAGGATTTTGACCGAGTTTCATGGGATTTTCTTCGAAGGGTGTTGGAAAAATTTGGCTTTTGTACCAGGTTCATAAACTTGGTCATGTGAAATATTGTTGATAGCTATCAGTTCTAATCAATGGCAGCTGAATAGCCCCATATGGACTTCTCGCTGATGCTATGTCTATGTCGCACTTATGTTTTACAGATGATTTCATAATTTTTACCAAAGGTCTGAAGAAGTCAATGGTGCAACTAAATCTCCTTCTTCAAGACTATGAGGCTGCTTCGGGATAAAAGATGAATAAACAGAAAAGCTCTTTTTTAATATCAGAAGAAACTGGGCTGGAGAAAGCGGAGCTGATTTCTAGAACTCTACAGATGCCACGTGGTTGTTACCCTTTCATCTATCTGGGTTGCAAAATATTTAAGGGGTGGAAGAAATCTGAGTTTTTTCATCATGTATTGGATATTTTTTATTTAAGACTGCGGAATTGGAAGAATAAAATGCTCTCGGCAAGTGGTAGATTAATATTGATTAGGCATGTTCTTATGGCTTTACCTATACACACATTTGCAACAATTGCTCCCCCAAAATCCATAATCTCAGCCTTAGAATAGAAATGTCAAAGATTCCTCTAGGGTTCAACAGATGATGAGAATAAGAGGCATTGGAGAGGTGGAGCAGGCTCACATATCCGCAAGCAGAAAATGGTCTAGGAGTTCGAAGTTTTTCAGGAATCATTGAGGCTTTCTCTATGAAGTTATGGTGGAAATGAAAGAGTAAAAGAGGGATTTGGGCTGAATTTATACATTCTTTATCAAGGTTAGCGGAGACAGAACAACATGGAGTAGAATCTTAAAAGTGGATTTTTAAAGCTGGTCCGAACACTTCTGTGATTCTTGGCAAGGGTGAAGTGTCGTTTTGGTTTGACAGTTAGCTACCTTCTGGCATGATATGGTTCATCTACTTGTTGAATGACCCACCATTTAAAGACCTGCAGGTAAAGGATTTCTTTTTCTAATAAATATCTTTTTGACTAATATCTCTTCTGTGGTACAACCCCTAGTTCTTCACATTCTGGAAAACACAACTCTGAATTTATCGCGTGTGGAGAATAAAAGAATATGATAGTTAACAGCAAATGGTATTTTCACCAGTGCCTCAGCATACAGGGAGTTGTTCCATTTGTTAAAAATTCCTGGAATAAATTTACTCCGTCAAAAGTTTCTTTTTTTTATGGAAACTTTTTAATAAACTAGTGCCATTGCCAGATGTTTTGATTAACCTAGGCTCTTGTGCACTACCTTCTAGATGTTCCCTCTGTTTATAGGAAGGAGAGAGTATCTCTCATGTTTTCTATCAATGTCCGAAGTCACGACATGTTAGGAAATACTTTTCAAATATACTTGGAGTTTTTGTGTCTTCTCATGCAGGTTTATGGACTTTTGTTCAGGCTTGATATACTATTGGTGATCTTCTTACAGCGAAGAAAATGATCAAGATAATCACACCTGGTTTAATCCTGTGGGAGCTTTGGAAAGCCCGGAATAAATGTCTATATGAACGAACTTGTTTCTCCCCCAATTTGGTGATTAAAGAAGTTAAGGAGCAAGTTTCTATGACTCTCTGTACTCACAAACTCCGTGCAAAATCAATGGCTGAAGTTCAGGAATTAAAAGATATCTTCGTAGTAGAGATTCCTCGTCCGAAACAAAAGAAACTTATAGTACTGTGCTGGAAAGTGCCAAACCCAGGGAAATTTATTCTCAACACATATGGATCAGCACTTGGTATTTGGGAGATGCTGGATGGGGCTATGTAGTACGAGGAGAGAGGGAAATTCTAATAAGAGCTGAATGCCAATTTATTGGTAATACTTTTAGTATGGAAGAAAAAGTAATGGGCATTCTCCATGGTCTGCAATGGTGCGCTGAAAAAGAGCTTCCTAGAGTCAGAGTTCAGATTGATAGCAAAGTAATAGTCCAGCTTTTGAGCAAAGACAAAAATTTTCCACGGAGATATCGTGCAGCTCTGAGTGAAATAACTGAATCTTGCAGAGCAGATAATACACTATTCACCATATCTTTTGAGAAGTCAATGCTCTAGTGGATGGACTATCGAGGCAAGCGTCAAGTGGCAATTCTCTTTCTCCTGCGATACTCCTGCTGAGCTTATGCCCACTTGAGAGGTATATTATCTTTGGAACAACAATCTTTTTCTTACATTAGGATTAGATAGGCACTAGACTAGGGAATCAAAGAACTATCATGGATTTTAGAAAATCTTTATATGGCAGTATCTTAGTTTATTGTGGCTTTATAGTTCAGAGCTATCAGGGGATCACTAGAAGATTCTTTGTAAGGCAGCTCTTAACTTTAGCTTTGCAATAGAGCCGTCATAGAAGCTTAGAGAAAGATTGTAAGACAGTTCTTCCTTTTTGGGTAAGTCTTAAGTACTTTCAATAGTAATTTTTTATTTTTAATCAATAAAATTGGGGGGATGCCCACCAGGTACCGCCCTGATTCTCGTAAAAAAATTAAAAAAAATATCTAATAGTTCAATGACATGTTTTGTGGTATCTTTAAAACCATTCAACAAAATTTAAAAATGAATGTAAACCTGAAACCTTATAGATTGAAAGCAAACAAAATTTGACCAAGGGAAAACAACCACGTTAAGGGGAGTTTCTAAAGAAGGCTATTCAAAATATATTTTGAAAATTCTAGCAAATCCCTAAATAGATCAGCACTTGATATGACTGATTGATGTTTGAGCGTTATATGCTTGCATGCATTTCTCTTAGGAACTTCTCCCCACACATTTGAAGGACCGACACCTATACCAAATTAACATTCGAACTTGTCCGGCTTTGTCAGCCCCTATGAACTGCGAAAATATATCATTTCTGTTTTCAAGGTTTCCTTTATATTCCTTTGTTCAAGACAATAAGAGTTGCCCTTCCTATTGCGGTCGACAAAGGTAGATCTCAATTTAATTTAGCTATATTTTTTAAGCATTTTTTTAATCGATTTTGCATTAATGGTTGTTATATCTAAATTACTATTGAATTTTTTTTGCCTAAAAACAATAATCATTTATGGAGTTAATGTCCGTCTTCTTTTATGCACGGAGATTTAATTGTTGGCTTCAATAGAGAAACAAGATCGTATACAGTGATTCGGCAAGATATTGAGGAAGGTGACTTTGTTCATGGAATTGTTAGCTTGGTGTATGAATTCCAAATATTGTTAATTAGAGTCTTGCAAGTGATTCAAATATTTTTATTCTTGAATTGTGTTTTTCCATTTCTTTTTATTGGATAACTGTAAATTTATTTGTTGTCACTCGGTATTCTTTGAGTTTTTAAAAAACGACAAATCATAAGAGTTGTAACTATTGGCTCAAAAGCATTTGGGTCTCTTTCAAACAAATGGTGAACCCTATAACTAAATCAATATTCTAATTCCTCGTTTTCAAAAAAAAAAAAATAAAATCTAATTCCTCAATAAACTCTACGAGTTTATTAATTTATTCTAGATTTCTGGAGAATTTCACTAACACTATTTCCAGGTAGATTTTTTGATACAGCCGGCAGGTACAACAGTGCCTACGTTTCTTCCAAAAACATTGGAGCATGATGTTCCACCAGGTTGACCACCGAAAGAAAGGTTAATATTATGCAATGTGATTCCCTTGCATGGCTTGGAACGACTGCAATTAATTGAGATTCCATCTTTTGTTGATGATGTTCCTCTAATATGTTGAAATGTTACTCCACTGATTTGAACCCCAGATGTCTAAAAATAACCGATTTATTGAAAATTAGTTGTCTTCGTATCACTATGTACTCAGTAAACAATGTTAATCGATCGCTATAAATGGTTAATTTGATGAAATTATTGTTAACATGCAATATATTAATACTACTAACCTGTCCATTGGAACGATAGTTTTGGTCGATGATGATTGGGTTTCCGGCATTAACCATGGTTACATTCTGGAAAATCACTTTTTTCACGTATGCACTGGATGGCTTAGCCCAAGTTTTTATTCTTACTCCATTTTGTGTGTTTTGTATGGTACAATGTCTCACTGTCACATTTTGTACTCCTCCTTCATTGTGTTGGGCACCTATGCTTCCAATGCTGCAACATAAGCCCCCCAAAAAAAACCGCAATTTTAGTTTTCTATTAGATTAATGCAAAGCAAACAATAACATTTTGACGTTATTCAATGCGAAAATAAAAAAATAAAAAATAAATACTTATATATAGTGCACCAAATGTCAAAAAGTTGTTAAATAAGATTTATCAACTATATAATTAAATAATTCGATTCAATTTGGCTGTGCACAATTGCATAAATTCATATCCGGCTTATACACAAGAGAAGAAAATGCATTCTATCACGGCCAAGTGAAAAAGAATCTTTGAAAATCTAAAAATGTCACAAGTGGTTATCACTCAACAAACAAGGTTAATCTTCAAATGCAATTATACTCAATTAATCTCAAATCTTTTCGTGATTACATCCAATAAAGATTATGAATTAAAAAAAAAGCTCTTATGAATTCGTGAAAATATTTCAAGTGTTAGTCCAATATTCTAGAATCTAAATATATATTGTTACCTTATTCCATGGCCAGGGCCACAAAAGATATTCTCAACCAGCACGTTACTGGAGCCGGGACTAATTGAAATACAGTCATCACCGGTGGAAATGGTGGATCCTGTCACAATGACATTGGAAGACCGTGAAAGATGAATGCCATCGGTATTACGACTGTCACCTGGAGCTGAAATGCGAAAGCCTTTTATATTCACGTTTGTGCATTCGTGAATAACAACGTGGAACATCTGGCTGTTTATCGATGTTACGCCGCGAATTTGAACGTTGTTTGAGTTGGAAAACGCCAAATTCTGTATGAAATTAGAGTAGATTTTGTCCAATTGGGTTAAAATGAATCGGCCAAAAAATCCCAAAAAAAAAAGTCTATTGGTAAGAATCCTATTCTGAATAATTCTTATATCTAAGAGCTTTTCAGACACACAAAATAAGTAAAAACAACTATTTATGACCTTTTTTGGGAGAGAAAAAGAAAAAAAAAAAAAAGAAAAGAAATTTGGTAACAGAATAATGTTTTTAGTGTCCATTTACACAATTCCATCCCGCAGTTTTGGTACCATATCAAATGAAATAAGTGGTTAATAAATTATGTGGTATTGGGAATTTTCGGTTAAATTATGTGAAAGATAAAAAAAAATGTATAAATTTTCTCAAACTTGGTTAAAATTTTAGACAATCCCCTATTGAACCGAACTTTTTCCATTTTTTTTTTACTCATCTTTCCTTTTTAGAAGTTTTATGAAAAAGAACTACATATAAGCAATTACAATAAAATAGTAATGGTTAAAAGTTATTCATTAATAGTATATATTAAAAATATAAGTGAGAATAAAAAATACTCTTTCTGTCACAAAATGATAATCCATATTAAATTTTGAGATTTATATTATTTTTAATAAAAATATCAAAAACCAATGTAGATAGAGTATTTAAAATCTTTGGAATGATCATTTCATACCGTTACACCTATTGGGCATTGTTTTCCTGCCTTTTTACAGTTCCAAAGGTTAGCACCTCGACCATCAAGAATTCCACCCCTAAGAACCATCCCATTAGTTTGCCAGAAGACGATCCAATGGCCGTCGTCGCCGATAACTCTGTAATCGGACGGCGCGACGAGTGTGCCATCGATTTGCATCGCGACGTTGTTCTTGCAAAATGCCCCTGCAAACGTCGTTTTACTACCCAGCAAGAATGTTCCTTTTGGTACGTACACCACTGACGAAGTTGTCGAGGCACATGCAGCTTGCCATGTATCAAGAAAGGCCTTTGATGAATCGATTTTGCCTCCCATTTTGGCTCCATAGTCTAACACATTAAATGATGCTCGAGATGATGCTAAGGAGAATGTAGAAAATAATAAGAGAATTGGGATTGAAAAAAGAGATTTTGGAGCCACCACCATTTTTTCTTCCCCTTAATTTTAACCAATTAAAAGGAATGAGAAATGATGGTGTTTGTTATGGATTTATTAGTTGTTGTTTTGAGGTTTTGAGTAGTTTTATGCGCCTGGTCTACATATATATAGTCCTCAAATAATTATGCAAATTTAATTATCATTAATTTACAAAATTTAACAGATAATTTGGTCAAAATCATTTGAGTGGGTGAAGAGAATTTAAAGATTGACTAATTGATTAATATTTCCACACTTACTAAGTATTGAAGAAAACAAAAAGGTAAGAAAATAAATTAAAAGATTGCATGGTCAATTTGTAATTTGGTTGTTAGTAATTATTCTTTTTGAAAAAAGGAAATATTAGTCAGAAAATCAACTTCAAAATTTATATTTATATATGTAATAATGACTGGTTCTCCTTTATGATTCGTTTGAATCTTTCAATTTTAAGAAAGTGCGAACTACATTTTGCCCCCCGAGTTTTGGCTCCATCTACCATAACTCCCTTAGTTTTAATAATACTACCATATACCCTCTGGACAGGGGGTTAATCATTAAATGACTAAAATAACCATTGTTTACATACTCTTTATTTTCTTTTATTTTTACACTTTGTTTTTATTTGTTTTTTCCTTATGAAAAATGAAAATTTATTAATTTATAATTTTTACATTTAACTATAACATAATGAATGAAAGTTCATCCATCATTAATAATGTAAGTTTATTATATTTCAAAAAATAAATTAATGAAGATTATTTTATTTCAAAAGACATAATATAGTTAATTTTAAAAAACATTAACTAAGTGCATGAATATAAAATGATTAATATGGAGTATATTTTTTTAACTTAATTTACGATATATATTTTTAAAAAGATTGTAATATAATTTAAAAAATATGAATTGGAGGGTTGTTTTGACCATTTACAAAAAATTTCATGATGATGTTAATATGTTTGGGGGACATTTGACAAGTTGACTATGAATCAACGGGGTATATAATAATATTACTAAAACTCGGAGAGTTTATAGTAGATCGGGCCAAAATTCGGGGGGTAAAATGTAGTTCGCCCTTTAAAAAATGAACAAATCCCAGCAAGTTACATTTTCAAATTTTTTAGAAATACAATTGCATCCATAAACGAAAGTAGCTCAAGTTAAGATAATTATAAATTCTTCCGCATATAATAGAGGAAGAAGACGTTGTTGATAAAAAATAAAGGGAAAATTTAGTTAAAGGGTGTTAGAAGAGGTCAAATTAATAAAAAGAGTATGACCAAAAAATATTGTGAAAATTTTCAAAATAAAAAATTACTATGAATTGATAATGTCACCTTTATATTTCTTATACAAAAAAATAATGAGCATCATTTGGGTTGACTTTATCATTTTTATTTTTCCTCCTCCCCTGCACCGCAACAGTGCCTAAACACCACTACTATTTTATCTTCCTCTTGCACCTCCCTCCATTGGCCATCACCACCAAACTCCATTCAAATTTCATCAATTTAATTTTATTATCCAAAAAAAATACTCAAATCAATGAACTTCTAATGTCAAGATTCAAATTTGATCCAACCCAACTCAAAAATGAAGACAAGTGAACTCCTAAATTAGAAATCGAGAAAAGCTTTACTTGGATTTTCTATGAAGACAAGAAACGGGTATCAAAAGTGGAGCTTTAAATGGGTATGAAAATGTGGAGTTCTTTTGATGGATAAAAATTTTTGATTACCAGTTACGAAAATGGATGAATTATGCAAGTAGAGAGCAATCAATCATGAGATAGTTTGGTGGTTTCACAGATTTTTAATTATCCAATGTGGCTGCTTTGATTTTTTCCTCATCACGAAGTTAATATGTATGCCAAAATTTGTGAACCCCGCGCTAATTGGATTAGATTGAATTGGATTTAGTTGTGGCGGATGGCGGGGCCAGAAGGAGGAGGTGGTGGAGGAAGTTGCGCAGAAGGGGTGAAAAGCGCAGAAGAAAATGACCAAATTCATGGTTATCCATACTCATCCTTCCTCCCACATTTTGTTTTTGCAACAAAGAGGTGTTCTTGTTTGTTTGCTCGAAATCACTACTGAAATCAGAGATTTTCCCGGCATCACTTTCTTTGTAATTTTCTGTTTGGTATATATCATCATCAATCAGATTAGCTGCCATTGATTACTGGGCTAAGCTTCAAAATTAGAGTCATTCCATGGTTATTCCATCAAACAAAGGATTTAGGCTTTCATATTTTTTAATATTTTTTGTGTAAAAAATTATAAGGGTGACATTGTCAGTTCTTTTATTTTGAATTTTTTCACAAATAAATTACCGTCCTTCACTCAAAATATTTTTTGGTCATACCCCTTTTATTAATTTGATCTCTTCTACTGCCCTTTAGTCAATTTTTTCCAAAATAAATAAATGAAACCATTGAGTGTTTTAAATTTAATTAAATACAATGGATTATTTACGTTCTAAATAAGATTCCACGTTAGATTAGGGAAACAAGAAAAGGATCACATCTTTTTTTTTCTTCTTTTAACAAAAGGAAGCAAAAGCCTAAGAGATCATATTAAAATAGACCGCGGGATAAGAAACTTCAATAATATGGTGTTCTAGCCACGTTTAATTCCAGAAGGGGGATCATCTGTAACTAACAAATCACCACTCTCCCCCTTCTCAGTAAAAAAACCTCGCCGAAAACTCCTCATCCTCCTCCCCCAACCACCATTAACGGTAGTTAGGGGAGCCATCTCTCTTCTAAATTTCAGTCTTTTTCATTTCTTTTTTATATAATAGAATAGGCCGGTCGCTTTCTTTCCGGCCGGCCGACACCCCATACCACAAAAAACCGGCCTCGGGCGCCGGTACTCTTCAAATAATCGCCGTTTTTGGCCGCTGCTACTCCTCCTCCTCTGACGACCAGATTGCTACCCTAGTACTGGCCTCCACCACCCGTGTTGACGGGTGCAGATCTGAAGCTTTTTGCTTCAGATTTGAATTGCCGGTTGGAGATCTGAATTGCCGTGCCGATGCCACCAAGTGCCACCGCCACCAGAGCTCAATTCAGACCGTCTCCGTTCAATACGTAGCCCCGGCTTCGTTTGTTTGCCATGCTGAACCAGTGGTGATGACCACTGCAGATCTGGACCTTTAGCCCAGATCTGATACTCCTAGCATGGCTGGGGGATAATCCGTTTTGAGGGAGCGCATTCGTCGTTATAAGGTCAGCCGCTGAAGATCTAGATCCGACTCACGGCTTCTCCCTTCGCAGCCGCTCCTCGGCCACAATAGAAAAGCCAGCCTTCCGGCCTGCTACTCAAAAACCGGCTTCACCGGTACTCTGTTTCCAAAACCTGGATATTGGATCTTCCGGTCCATTTATCCGGTCCTTCTGGTCACTAACAAAACAAATCGGGTTATTCTTAGTTATAATATTCTTCGTTCCTGTTGACTCACTTGCAGGAACAACTTGGATGTGGTAATTTCAAATTTTTCGTATATCATTTACTGTTCAGGATTCTCAATATGTCCGCCAAATGCGGCGAATCACGTTGACAAGGAAAATGATAATTGTCCTCCACCGCGTTACTGTAATTTAGTCTATGCCAAGAGTATTATTAACTATGTAATCCCTGAGGAGGTTTTACTTTAGAAAATATCAGTTTTTACTGATATTTAAAACACCGTCATGGTTTCTGAATTATACAGGGTAAGTCTTAAGCATTGCTCTGAAAATATTTCACTTTTTAATGAATTACCCAGGTACATCTTGGTTTTGGAAAAAAAATGTAAAAAACTAACAAATCACCAAGGCATGAAGCAGCTAACGTAGCCAAGAAACCTGCTGCAAAATTTGTCTCCTGGTAAATATGTTTAATCTCAACTCTCCAATTTCGATTAGGAAAAAAAAAACTGGCAGGCTGTTAAACGCCCTAAAAATCTCCCTTCAACGCCCTAAATAAATACCAAATGACCATTTTGCCCTTTACATGAATTTATAAATAAAGAGTTTCAATTTCATTCTTTCAATTCCTAAATCAATCTTTCATTTCAAATTCTCTCAATCTAAATACCTAAAAATATTTAATTTAATGGGGGATCGAATTAAACGGCTACGAAATGAGCTACGCAAACTAAAGGTACGTAAATTTGAATTTGAATTGTTTTAAAATTTATTTTGAAAAAAAAAAAAAACTCCACTGCCCCGGCCGGCGAGGGAGAACCGCGCCAGGGCAAACAGAGCTGGCGCCCAGATCTGCGCCAGCTCTGTGAGGGGTGGCGCAAAAATCTTCGCCACCCCTTACAGAGCTGGCGCAGATCTGGGCGCCAGCTCTGTTTGCCCCGGCGCGGTTCTCCCTCGCCGGCCGGGGCAGTTGAGGCGCTGGTTTCTTTGCCACCGGAAGATGGGGTGGCGAAGAATATTCTCGCCAGGCCGGTTGAGCCTGGCGAGAAAAACCGGCGCTGGCCGGTTTTTTTTTTTTTTTTTGTTAATTAATTTATATTTATATTTATATTTAATTATTTAATTATTATTTAATTGTTACTATTAGTAAATGTTTGTCTTATGAAATTTAGTTTAATTATTTGTTATTAGTGAAATTAATTAGTTATTTTTATTAGTTTAATTTATTTTGGAATTCAATTGTAGTTTTAATTTAGTATAGGTTTAATCTTCAGTAAATAGAATAGTTATAATACTTTTATAGTTTTAGGAATTTAATTGTATTTTTAGGGAGTTTAACGGTTTGTAAATTAAATTGGATTATTATGAAAGTTATTATAATTAATATAATTATAGAAAATATATTTATTGGATTAGTCGGTAGAATTGTAATTAGGCTAAAAAATTAAATATTTAGTACAGGAAAATTAAATAAATAAGTTATAATTAAAAAAATACAGGAGGTTAGTAGATAATTAGGGTTAATAAGAAATATTTATGTAGTTATAAGAAAAAATAAATATGTAGATATTATTAATAAATTGAACACTTTAGATGTAGAGTAGATAATATTATAATTACATATTTGAATAATATAAAACTGTATTAAACTAATTAATCTAAGTTACGT